TGGCACAGCTGGTCAGAGAGCGTCTAATGCAGACAATCCAAAAACATGTGCGAATGACTAACAAGGTAGTTTTTGAAAGTAGCAGCTAATACACCAGTGCTCTGCAGTACCTTACATTTAGTTTTTGTTGATTTGAGGTTTATTAATCTAGCAATACTTTATTAATTTTGTAGCACAGAAAGAGCAGCTAATAAATGAGATGCAGTTTATACATCTCATGAAAGTATTATAAATACTGTGCAAAATCAACTAAGTTGGGGCTGGAGGTATGTTCTGTGGTAGAGCACATATTTAACATGTGCAAGGCCCTGGGTTCCATCCCTAACACACACACACACACACACACACACGCACACAAATTGAACTAAACTATTGAGACACTTTAGGAGAAGGAATATCTATATTTTACTGCTCTTAGTATAAGAATATTGGAGAACAGGATGACGGTCCCCCCCCCTCAGAAGTGGAGTCTTTGAAGATGGCTTAGCTATTCTCTCTTAAAGCATTTTTCTTTTTAGTAATTAGGATTTTACCATAGTATCTCATGTTTGATGATGTAAAGTCTTCTTCTTTCTCCTCACCTCTTTATTTTCTTCCCCTGTAATCCCAGATTTTAATTCAATCCAAAATAAAAGCAATGCAGTGCCTCACATTTCTTCAGCCTCCCTTTCCCTAAATTCTAACCAAGAGAGATGAAAAACAACACAAAATGAAGTGAAAACATCCCCCTCGCAGTCTCTGCAGTAGTATCTTAACTGAGTGAGACTCCAAAGGTGAATATGATGAGAGCCGCAGGCTCCGAGTTTACTGGCTTTGTTTCTACATCCCCATGCAGCGGTGAGCCTGATGGACACCAATACTCATAAAAGCCTCTCTGTGCTAAACTGCACCTTCGCAAACCTCCCCATCACCGCATGCCAGGCTCTTTTTCCTCCACTCTCGCGATAGCCTTCTGCTCCTACGTCTGTGTCAGCCCATCCTGGAAGCTCCACTGCAGGCTGGTTGAGTAGTTTTTTTATTAAAAGCCTGCTACAGAAGACAGACAGATCTTAATGCATCATTCACCTTCTTCACACCATAGTCAGAAATCAGCAGCCTCTTTGGTCTTTCTTGCCTCTGCCTACATGGACCAAAGCTTGACAATTTCTACAGTTACTGGCTGCTTAAAATTCATACTGAAAGGCATTGTTTCCAAATAGCTTTACTGCAATCAATAAGATGCTCTAGGCATACAAAGATGACAATCTTAACCCACCATCCTCTTGACACTTGTCTTTAAAGATAACTGCCTGGTCCATGGCCCGTGACTACTGTATAATTGAATGGACATGACCTTCTGAGAATGTCGGAATCAGTAAGGAACATTAAGATGTCAACATTCTATATTATTCTTGAAGAGGTGAAAGTCAATTGGATGCCAATAAAATGAATTAAGCTGCCCGTCTTACAAGACAGAAGCCTCTTCATAACTCATTTCCCATGATCCATTGATTAAGACAGCAGGCCAAATATAGTTTAAAAAGAAATAAAGGAAGGAAACCCAATGTGTGAATATATACTCTCTGTTGAAGATGCAAGCTTAATACCTTGCTTTCCTAGTGTCTAGTTTTGTTATTGTCTGACATTGTTTTCCACAATTGCTCCCCATCTTTGTTTCCTTCTGCTGAGATTATTGTGTCACTAGTTTCCCTATTAGTCTGTTCCCATGGTGAACACATATTGATCATTTCTTTCTCTTTGCTCATCACAGGCAGATTGCAAATGTGGACTGCAAGATTGGAATGATCTTTCCAGAGGGTGCATCATGACTCAGCACTGTTAACACAATCATCTTTTCTGACTATGGCCAGGCATTGCTTCTGGGCTTGGCATTTGGAGCCAGTCCAGTCTGACCCATGATTGGCAACTGGCCAGATTCCTGAGATTACTCCACTACACTAGATTAGACACTGGACTAGTAAAAAATATTCAAACTATTGATGCTTATCTTGTAATATCTCCACATTTTAAAACACTTAAATTTTCTGCAACTATTAAAATGTTATCATTTATGCATGTACTAGTGTGGGTATAAAATGTGTATAAATTCAATACCTATTTTGGAAGTGCAAGTTAATTTCTTTTTAAAAGAATTTTGCTTAGATATAAGAATAAACAGGCTGAGAGACCAGTGCCAAACACTCTTAGATTCAGTCTTTCAATTTCATAGATTTTTGAATGGCAGCATGTCCTATAGGAAAGTATATGCTAATAATTCTATTGGTGATTATTCATTAAAATATTTAGTAAACATTAGTAGGTGTTAGTAATTGTGCTAGATGTGGGGTAAAGATCAAAGAATAAGCTCTTTAAGTTTTTGAGCAGGAGAAAAGCTTGTAGCCATAATGTGTTGATTTTACAGTTCCCTTTGTCTAGCATGACTTTGCTTGATTCCTATTTATTAACTGCTACTTGCCCTTTAATATCAGCTTGACTCCATACCCTCTAGGATGCCTTCTCTTATTCATTCAGAGCTGAGTTAAGTGGATCTCCTTAAGTGCTCAGGCACTTGTCCTTCCTTACAAAACAAGATCTCCAGCTGAGAATATACCAGTCTTGAAATAACCCTGCTGTACCATGTTCTTCAGCCTGTATTTGCCAAGAGTCAATAATACAGTCGGACCCTGGAGCATCTGCTATCTTAGAGGCCAAATGACAGAACATGTCTGAAAATGGGAAAGATGTTTATAGATTGAGGCAATGGTTCTTGAACATTAGCATGCATCAGCATCTTAAATCACATTTGCTTGGGTGTCTCCTGAGAGTTTCTGAGTTAGCTGGTTTAGGATGCAGCAGAGAATCTACCTTCCTTTAAGTTTCAAGGTGGTTATCAGGAACTGTGTATCAGGTGTGTGTCAGGAACTGTGCTGTGAGAAGCTGTTGTTTGAGGAACTGGTGAAAAGGATTTAAAAGTTCCACCTCTTGCCCCTGACTATACACAATCCAATGGGGCCATCACTGACATTCCAGGTCTCCTGAGCAGTAAGCAGGACATCCATAGTCTGACTTACATGATTTTCTTCTTTGGGTAGTTCTATTTTCCCTCAGACCACAGTGATAGGTCTCCCACTACCTCAGCAGCTATTATGCATAGTAGCTGCCCTCTTCCTATTGTGCCTTGCCCCCACCCCTGTGTGATGTCATGCCAAGATGGTTGCTCCCACCAAAGAATAAACCCTTCTTCCCAGCATGCCCCTGTTCCCGCCTAGAAAGTAACCTAATACTCACTCACCTCCTACCAACTAGTGACATCACTGGCTCCTCCATTCCCTAGTCACTACCTCACTCAACCTCTCCTCAGCTCTTACAAACCCCACCCAAGTCTCTATAAAAGACTCTACCTGCCTCGGCCATATTGCCTTTGCCTCTCCTTTGTTCAGAGACAGCCCAGCAGATCTGCTCCCTAATAAAGGCTTGTTGTGGCCTGGTCTGGTCTTGGTTTTCAGCCTTTTTTACCTGAGACACAGTATTACCAACAGAAGAGGCATAGCAATACGCCGACATAGTGAATCAGTGTGCTGGTTCACAGTTAGGAAGCAGTTTCAAAGAGATGTATTAATATATTGTATTTTAAAATTTCAGTCAGGTTTCCTTAATGGCTACTGGTTTAATCTATTGTGTAGCATATGATTTAAAAAATTCACATGGTTACTGGAGTAGATTCAACTAAAACTTTCCCCATGTTCCAAATGAGGAGGAAAGGTTGTTGAATGGGCATATGAGAAAAATTGAGCTCTTCGATCCTTTAATAAGTTCTAATTATGGAGCCTGTTGCTATCCCGCTGTTACAATAGCTATAGTTCATTATGGAGTATCTACATATACAGTATGCTATTATATATGTATAGCTTAAGTTAAGGTATACGCAAGTGCTGTGTGCATTTGCTCTGGACAGCAGAGTTCAGGAATGGCCTACTAATGTCCTCATCAGTTAAATTCTAGGAGCAGTGGGATGAGAGAGGTGGTGAGGGAGCTTCTCTGTATGGAAAGACCACTAGAGGGGTCAGGATGCTTGCTTCTGTTGTTCACTCACAAATCAACAATATACATTTTATTAATTAAAATACTGAATGCTAGAGATGTTTTTAATTATAAAAATGGTGACTGTTGACTACTGTGATTAATAGTAAAAATGGGCTCATATCGTTATTCAAAATACCTGGTTTAAATATTCTGATATTCTTTAATTATTCTCCATTCTTGCATCAAAAGCACCCACAGAGGACTTGTCCTCTTTACTTTGAGAGATTATATCCTAGACAAATCATTCAAGGAGCCTATGTCTGTTCAAGAACTCTAGAAGGTTCTGTTAGCTGATGACTGCCTCTGGAACTCTGAATTTCTTGGACAGGACCAGCCCACACAGAGTGTTAGGGGTCTCGCTATGTGGCTACGTGGGCCAGGCTGGGCTGACATGTGATCCTCCTGCTGCTGCCTCCCACAATGCTGGGATTACAGGCATGCACCATCCCTCCTGGCTATATTGTGTTGTTTTAAGTCACCACTTTTGTGGTAATTGGTTACAACAGTAACAGAAATCAAAAACAATTCCTTCCTCTTTTTTCCCCCTTCCTGACCCTTTGTACATTGTTTGGTTCTACTCTAGACCCCTCCCCAGGACAACTCTTAAATCCTCCCCAGAGTTCAAGGCTCATTTAGTGACCCTTTCTCTCTATATACTTTAACACAGTTGGAAGTAGTTGTGCTCCTATAAAACTCCAGAGCACCCTGTACCATAGACAATCCGTTTAGCACATATTCTTCACTTGACTTATTTGATGCCAGGCTATATATATTTTTGCTGCTCCATGGTTCCTAGTTCATGGATTTTAGACATATTAGACTTGAATATTCATTGAATGAATGAACTGAAGAATATTATCATAAAATACTTTTAAATACTTCCAGTAGCAATGTATGAAATATTGGATATTTTATTTATAAATATAAAAGTAACATACGTTTTTAACCTCATATGGTCTGTGTAATATCTGCTCCATGTAATGATTTAGATCTCTGCATCTTTTGTGGTCTGAATTTGTAAAAGGTAAGTGCCACCAATGAGGAAACCTGTTTTAAAAGAAAAAAAAAGTATCTTCATTAGTATGAAAATGGACATCTCTGTTTTAGGACTGGTGGGAACATTAACCACTGCATCAGATAGAAGAGCCAATGAAAACATCTGAAAGAGTAACATGATTCATCTTGAAAGTTTTCATTGACATCTCTGTGCTCACTTGTCCTGCTTTGTCACTAATATTAATACTAATTAAATTTAACATAAATTTACATGTTCTTTCTTACTGTATTTGTAGCAGACCACACATTTTGTCCTTTAAATACAAGTGGGAGTCCAAGAAATACTTTCTGAACTTGACGATTTATAATTTTTCAGAGTTCAGATTGTATTGTCTCTTCCGGGTTACTATAGGCCTTTCCACACTAAAGCAATCTTTTACCAAGTGACATATGCTTCCATCTGGTCTTAGTCTTTTGGAACAGTAGCAGTAACATATCCTTAAGAGTCTGACTTACAGACTTTGTTGGAGGGCTCATCTTTGCAGGGTGGATTGATTAGGCCAGGTGTGTACAGGCTGAGCTATGGGTGGTCATGTTTGCAACACATGCTGCTTAAATCCACCTCTTTAGGAGCCACTTGCAGTAGTAGCTTCCTCTTACTGCAGTCTCCCTGCTGTCTTATTTATATGTCTGCTGTTGGGATAGAGACCATGGCTTGGCTACTGTGCTTCCTGGAGAAATGAACATGGAACTAGAGAAAGACTGTCTGCAAACACACACAAGTAGGTGACAACTGCTTCCTGCCCCCTTTACTGTTTCTGGTTGGAAATGTCAAGGAAGTCTAAAATAAACATATGTTTATAGTAAATAACTAACTTGTAATTTAAAAAATTCTTGTAGCTCTAAGTATTAAAGCATTAAAATTTTCATATGGACTTAGTTATGACAATAACAATATCATATACAAAGTTAGTTATGAAAATTAACAACAATGCTACAAATAAAATATACATACAAAGCAAGACTTTTTGAATTTTCCCTATTGGTAGGATAAAATAGCTTAATATTAATTCTATTCCTTTACTGATATTTTTGTACATATAACAGACTAAAAAATGCTATGTACAAACATGTACATAAGAATTGAGGAATTCTGCCTAGTAATGTCATTCAATTGTTTGAAATCTTACATGCCAAATGCAACATAGCAATTAGCTATTGAGAATTAAGTTTTACGATCTCTTATCTGACAGTCTCATCATGTTCTCCCTCAATTTTGTTCAGGACAAAGACAAAAAAGAAAACAAGGGCAGGAACCACAAAACAAAAACAGATGACTTGCCAACAGATTCAGTACCTGATTAGTAGAGTAGTTTGCTTTGTCAGTACAAACACTAAATTTTTATTTGCCTTTTTATCTGGCCCTCAGATGTTTTTACATCTTGGGCCAGTGTCACCAAAAGGAGATTTTCAAGAGTCGGGGGAGGAGCATTGCTAAAAGTAGAAAGGGGAAAGGAAATTCTCCTGTCCTTGAGCTGATTCATTTAGAGAAGGCCATTCGTTATAAGGGGTATTGTCATGCCTGCATGCTTGTGGAAAGGACCCAGAAGTACAAATAGCCTGATTTGCAGGGCACTGCTATATGCTATGACAAAGTAAAATTTTATTCTTTATGACTGTAACTTTCTGATCAGACTTTCCAGATCAGATTTGAGTAACTGTCATAGGGCTTCTCTGGGGAAACTCAGGAGTCAGAAGAAACCTTGTTCCTATCTTTCCTTTGTTTGTATTGCGTAGACTTTGGCCCTCTTTGGATTGTTAGCACACAAATATTGTGCAGGGCATAGAAGACTAAATGTACCCCTCAACATGTGCTGTAGAAGTAGTTTTTGTTGTTTCTTTTTGTACTGAGGATTAAACCTAGGGCCTTCACACTGAGCTCCATTCCCAGGCTTTCTTAAAATTTTAATTTGGAGACAGGATCTTGCTAAGTTGTTAATTTGCCCGGGCTGGGCTCCAATTTATGATCCTCCTGTTCCAGCCTCCCAGAGCTCTGGGATTACAGGCATGCACCGTCATGCCCAGACCACTTGTTTACGTGGTCTGAATATCAATTTGGGTACTTTGCCAGGCAGCCGTTGTGAGCAAAACAGAACCCTAACTGAAGCTGAAAATTGAGAAGAAGCATATGAAGAGATTACTATCCCTTCTAAAGTTCTTCAAGTTACACTAACATGTAAGATTCTGAAACCCAAAAGAGGACAGGTTAATCAGTATCTTTAAACAACTGACTAGTAGGGTATGATGGTGACTACAGGGGTTGAGTTCATTATTTGTAGCCCAAGTACGAGGTTTTTGCTCACATCTCCTTTTTTTTCTGTTATCCTATTAAAAATTGTTGCTAATTCTTAAACCTGCTGCTTTTAAGTTCCCAGAACAGCTTTCCTTCCTTCTCAGCCTCTTAACTATGCTTTCACTCCAATTTTTTGACTTCCTGATACTTCAAGTGCTCATGTTTCAAAATCTGTGTGACATCTGCAAGTATAGTCTTTCAGGAACATGAATTACTCAGTTGTCAATATCGCACAATATCTTCCATCCACTAACAATTCTGCTTATATTTACACTTTGGAAAATGACTACACTGTGAAAGCCAAGTAAGAATTCACATGTACAACATACACTGGGTATAATGTAGACATTTATATTCTTAAAGGATCATTTACTTAACAAAAATCCAGTGTAGATAAAAAATTTGATTTATCTCACTGTTAGTATCATAATTTCTGGGAAGCTCTCCTTTTTAAAGCCAAGGTACACTTTTTTGTCATATATTGAAATCTGTGATCTAATTTTGGTTCATTATAAGTGATAAAGGTTCATATGACTAGTAGTTGTTTTCATTGTATTTGTAGTTTGCTTATGTGTAAGATTTTTATTATAACATGGATAGTCACAATGTTTTTCATTATTGTTTCAAAATGAACATAACAACAAATTATGTTTATATAATGCAAGTTGAATAATTAATACTTAAAATGTTAATAATTGATGACGTGTGAGCTATAAATATATAACTGGTATTAATGCAGTTAAGTGTTTCTGGTACAGAAACTAAATATATAAGCTTTTCATTTTAGTTATTGTTAAAAGAATAGATAAGTCCAATTTAGAATTTTGTTCTGCATTTTCAATTCCAATTTTATTTTTATAGAAAACAGCTGAGATTAATTTTAAAAAGGGTAAATAAAACAATTTCCCCAATCATTGATGAGAAATGAAATAGTTTCTGATTTATTTATTTATTTATTTTTTTGTCTACAAAATCAATAGCTGGAAGCAAGAAGAAAATTGCAAACCTTGTTCTGTTTTATGAAACAAAAGATTCTCTACTAAGAGCAGAGCAGGCTCTCTGCTGGAAGAGATGCAGTGGTATTAGAGTAAGAATACTGTGTTGCTCCCAAGTTGGAAAATCTCATAACCATAATTTTTCCTTTTGCTCAGGGACAAGTACTGAATGCAAAACAATGCGAGAAGACAGTTCCTTACTCTGGGATAGTCAGTGATGTAAACTGCTTCTGAAGTTGGCTGTGAAATTTTGAAAACTGGTCAAATGACTTTTCTATCAGGCTGGTTTCCTCATTCCCATGTGTCACCTGGATCAAATACAGCTGCAGAAAAATAGGCAAAAATCAAAGTATGAATAAACTTCAACGCGTGGTAAAACCTAGTTTTATGTTGACCGAAAAAAGAAAAAAGTTTCCTGAAAAAATTATCGCAAGAGCTAACAGATGCGTTTTGCAAGAGTATCACCTATAAATACAGCCCATAACAGTATCATAATCTTATGTGCTGGAACAGACTAATTTCTACTGTTCTTTTCTTGTGGACATTTTAATTAGCCCTTGATTTACATTCCACCGCAGGGCAGGAACTGTTTCCTCTGATGGTTCTCTGCTAATAGCTCTGGTTGTTATGATTTTTCCTTAGAAACATCCTCTTAAAGGCCCTTGAGCTCTAATTGTAACTGATTTTTCATTTGCATAGTAAAAAAAGACAAGGTGTGGAGCAGAGTGGGAGATGGAGTCAAAATGACAGATTTTAGACTTACATCGCTGGGTTTCTTGCTGAGCCCTAAAATTGTTGCTCTTTGAATTGACCCGGCTGTACTTAGCACACAGGATTCCCGGGAGGACATCGGAGGAGATTTGGTAGGGTTCACGGCTGACATTTGTGCGAGTATGTGGATCAAATTGTTCAATTTAACAGGGAAACACTCCAGACTTTCCTTTATTTTCCTAGAGAAATTAAGAGGAAAAGACAGTAATATTCCACTGCATCAACTCATTTCATTTATAATTTGTTTCCTTGTGTTAGCTAGATCTGCTAGTGGTGGGAAACCAGGTACTGTACACTTTTATTTGAAGTCCAACTTTTAAACATTGTTGTTATTATTATTTATTTATTTTTGGTACTGAAGATCAAACTCGGAACCTTGCACTTACAAGGGAGGCGGCAGAACCACTGAGCTAAATCCCTGGCCCCTAAACATTATTTTTATAAACTTCAAGTTCACATCTGGACTTGATAGCAAATATAGAAAAAACTTTTATGGTGAAATATAGAAGAAACATAATTGCTATAATGTATTTTAACTTTTATAGGTTTGCTTTGTTTTGTTATCTATTGTTAGGAATTGTGTTTCAAAAAGTTTAATAGTAGTTTATAATTATTGGAAATCTGTCCATAAGTTTCACAATGAAACCTATAACATATGTTGAAAGAAGCCTGGCAGCTATATCCATACTCTCTACCCTATCCCTGTCCTTCCTCTTTGTTATGACTTAGATCTAGACCGTACCCTAAGAGCTTCAAGTGCTTAGAGGTGAGGCTTTTGGAAGGTGTTTGGATCATGGGGGCACTAGATTCATTAGTGGATTCATCCACTGGTGAGTTCAGCAGCTGGCTGTGCTGTTTAGGATATGGGGTCTACTCAGAGATGGGCTCACTGGGGAGGCTCTATCTCCCCTCCTGACTCCCCCCTTCTCTCTCTGCTTCTTGACCACCATGACATGAGCAGCATTCCTCCTCTAGACCCTTCTACAGTGCAATTTGTGCCTTGGACCCAGCCAACTATGGACTGAAAACATGAGCCAAAATAAATCTCTCCTCCCTTAGGTTTTGGGTGTCAGATATTTTGTCTAGTGGTGAGAAAGTTACTGAGCCACTCTTTTAGCATTTTAAAAAATTATGACTCAATTTTCATTATCTGAGTTTTAAATTTTAATTCTATTTTTTTGTATATTTGTGTTCCTTTCTCAATTATCTTAGAGGAAAAAGCATATTATAATACCATATTTAATATTTAAGTATTTTATATGAAGTGGTTTTACTCTGAGTTTTTATTGGGTTTTTCTTTTACATTTAAAAAAATAACTATTATCAAATACACACACATACAAAAATTAAAACCATTCAAAGAAGAACAAGGCAAGGGAAAAAACCTACAGTAATATTCAAATACAGTAGAACTCAACCAAAACAGAACTGAAAAGCACTTAAACATTTTTCCACATAACTTAAAAAAGCATCTCAAGCACCAACAAGATACCAGAGGATGTGATTTGTTTCAGAAAGATCCCCAGAACCAACATTGAACAAATAGTGGTCTGGAAAAAAACTCCAGTTAGCTAGCAGACTCCACATAAACCAAACTTCTCCCTAATTTAAATTTTGATACAGTGATATGACACGCGATGGAAACACAATCCGAGAAATGTGTTGTTAGGCCATTTCGTCCATGTGTATCCTTAATTACACTCTCAGTTTCTCACACTAGAGAAACTATTCAGTATTTACACATGTGTGCCCTATTTATTTCACTTAAGAGGATGGCCTCAATATGCATCCATTTAGCTATAAATGTCTCTAGTTTCTCATCCTTTATGGCTGAGTAGTACTCCATTTTATTTTAAAAAGCATGTCTTCTTTATCCAGTTTCCAGTTGATGGGCACTTGGGCTGTTTCCAAGCTTTAGGTATTACAAACTGTGCTGCTATGAACATGGGTGCGCATATATTGCTGTGGTATGATTCTTTTAATTCTTTGGGAAAGATGCCCAGCAGGGGGATAGCTGGGTTGAATGGGACCTCTAAGCCTAATTCTTTGAGGTATCTCCATACTGATTTCCACAGTGGTTGCACCAGTCTGCACTCCCACCAACAATGGAGAAGTGTTCCTTTCTCCCCACACCTCCGCCAGCATTTGTTATTGGTTGATTTCTGGATAGCAGCCATTCTTTCTGGGGTGAGGCGGAATCTCAGTGCTGTCTTCATTTGCATCTCTCAAATGACCAGTGATGTTGAACATTTTTTCATATATTTATTTGCTGCTTTTACTTCTTTGTCTGAGAAATGTCTGTTCATTTCAGATGCCCATTTTTGAATTGGGTCTTTGAATTTGGGGAGTCTGATTTTTTTCAATTCTTTATATATTCTAGTCTTTTGTCTAACGTACAGTTGCTGAAAATTTTTTCCGACATTGTAGGTTGTCTCTTAGCTCTGTTGGTGGTTTCTCTTGCAGTGCAGAAGCTTTTTGTTTGTTTCTTTCTTTTTGGTACCGGGGATCGAACTGCATTTGCGAGGCACGAGCTGGAACCACTGAGCTAAATCCCCACCCCACTGCGGAAGCTTTTTAATAAGATAAGATCCCAGTTATTGATTCTTTGTGCAAGTTCCCAGGCCACTGAGGTTTTGTTCATAAAGTCTTTTCCTAAACCGATGTATTCAAGAGTTCTACCTAACTTATCTTCCAGCAAATTTAGTGTTTCTGTCTTAATATTTAAATCTTTAATCCACTACGTTTTATTGGGTTTTTGTTTTGTTTTTAGCTTTGGTGCCTGTTTTTTTAAAGCTTTTTACATTAAAGAAAATTTGCATTCTAATGTTATAGTATCTTTATATACTCTTTACCCTCCCCTTTTGGTATTTTCTATTTATTGTCTACTAAGAAATTAGCTAAATTCATTTATTTCTTCTATTTATTCTTCTCCAGTGTGTAATTTTCAATATTATCCTTTTAATCCTAGTTAATACTATAAGCAAACAGCATGCTTTGTAGTTTTCATTTGTGCTTTCTATTTTCTACTTCCACTTACTGTAAAACTAGTCTATATTGTATGGCTTATGCAATGTACACACTATGCCATTTATCTTATAACCATTCAGTCATGGACTTTTTCTAGTATTTATGGTCTAATCTTTCCAATTTCTCATTTTGATTATCTGAAACTCATTCTCTAGTAAAATCTTCAGGAATTACTCCAATGAATCAGTTTCTGAGTTCCCTTGTGCTATGAATAGTTTGTGTCCTTAATACTTGAAAGCCAAGCTGCATATATAGCATCCTTTGGTCATAATTTCATTTTGGAGTGTCATATAGATACACCATTTTCTTCCAGAATAAAACTTATGCCATATGGTAAACTTCTTTCACTTTAAAGTGAGGTAGTCTCATTACCTGCATACTTAAAGGAAGTTTCTTCTTCTTCAGTGTCTATATTTTTTCTAAAATAAGTTTCAGTATTAGTTATTCTGGACAGTTCTTCTGAATATGCAAAGTGCCCTTTCAATATATAATTTCAATATTTTTTCCAACTCCCAGAAAAGATTTATTAATTCTAGTGTTGAGATTTATTAAATACTGTACTAAATATAAATTGAGTTTGGATACGGTTTTAATTTATTATTTTGATTTTCTCTTGGGGGCTTTCATTACATTCATACTGGATCATCACTGCCTTTCTTTATTTCTTTATTTTAAAAATTCATTTTTCATTTCCTTTTTCTCTTGTAGCATTGTGTGTAGGTGTTTATGTGTGCTGTGTTCCTTCTAGTTTATTGATTTTTGTATTATGTTTTCTTTTCTTCACAATTTTATCTTGGGCTGAGTCACTTTATTTCTGAGTTCTCCTGACTTTTTCCTTCATATGTTTACAAGTTCTTAAATATTTTCAAGCTCCATTGAAATATAAAGGCACATTTTGTCTCTAGATGTGTGTGTGTGTGTGTGTGTGTGTGTGTCTTTCTGTATGTTTTCACTGTAGGGATAACACAATCTTGTATTTTACTTCTATTTTCCTTGTTATCAGTTTTTATGTCATTGAATGATAGTCTGTTTCGTTTTCTCATTTTAATAAGAAATGAATATTCTTTACTTTCAGGAAGTAGTAGAGAATTTTGTAGGGCCTGGGCTTTCTTTTCTGTTTCTATCATATAATGTTTTTAAAACATGGTTTCATACTTTCTGAGATATGCTTGCTGTGTGGTCTGCCCTCCACTTTTTCTGGGTTTTATTTTTTACCTTTGCTACTATTACCTTTTGTCTTCTCAGATTGGATTATACTTTTAGCTGCTTCTCCTCAGTGTAAGCCTTTTTCCTGGAAGAAAGCTTCAGCTACCTTTGCAAGGACATAGACTGCTCTATCCATTTTGGATTTAGTACAGAAGCCTTGCCTTCCCTGAGAACTGAAGTGTTCAAAACCCCCTCCCAGTGTCAGTTGCGCTTTTCAGATTGTCCTGTTAGTTCCCAATGAGTATCTGGTGGCTTTTCTTTCAGTTCTTAGATCCATCAGACTACTTGGTATTTCCCTTAGCTTCCTCCATACAGGTGTGGATACCACACAAGTTTTATAACTGTTAAGGGTTTGCCTTCACCCGTTGTGTTTTAGGATTCTTGGGTATACCTTGTGTGATGATTGATCTTGAGTCTCAACTTGATTTATACTTTTGGGATTATCTGTGAGAGTGTTTGTAGAGATGATTGGCTTGTGCGACAGCAAACTGAAGAGGGTTACCCACCCTGAATGTGGGCAGCTGCATAGAGTAGGCTGGGGGCCGGGATGGAACAAAAGCAGGAGGAAGCCTGCTAACATCAGCTCTGGCTTTGTTTCTCTTTTTGCTTCTGGGCTGCCATGAAGTAAGCAGCTTTCATCTGACATGTTTTCACCATGATGTTTCTGCCTCATTTTAGAACCCAAAAATGGAGCCAGTGGTTCATGACTTGAAACCTCTGAAACCCTGAGCCAAAGTAAACCTTTTCTCCTTTTGGTTTATTACCAACTATCCTAGTGTCAATTCCACTTTAATTAAATATCCCAGTTCTGTCCTTTAATGTACCTTTACCGAACCACCTTCATTTGGGTTTATATTTTCATTCTCTTTTGCTGCTTTTTGCCTAGAATTTGCCACAGGAAGGATTGAGAGCAAGAAGGTCACTATACTGATATCAAATTCCCAAG